CAAATCTGAGAGCTCTCTGACCCTCCGTAGACAGCAATGCAACTGTAAATATTGTTTAGGCTAATTTTCATTTTTGGGTGAACTAACCCTTTAAGAATCTTTTCATAAGAATCAACTGAAAAGTGAAGAGTTGTAGAGGAGTTAAAACCATAACAGTCCATCAAAATATGCTTTAGAGAAACTTGACTCTTTCATAGAAATATATTGATGTGTTTACATTCTTGCCTTAAGATCAGGCTGAATTGAAATGAGTTCTCTATCATGGTCTTAAACATACTGAAGATACCTGGGAGATGAGCGGGTCAAGTGGGAATGTCTTTTTGGGACACAGAGAGGCCTGGACAACTGTGAAAAGTTGGTTTTCATCCCCTTTACCACAGCAATCCAGCTAGATATTGAGAGAGAGCAACAAAAAAAAATAATAATAATAAGCGATGGGGTTTATTAACTGTCCAAAATGAAGGATTTTGATGAAGGAATATATTTTGGCAACTCACCGAGTCATGGAAGACCTCCAGAACTTTGGAAGCTGCCTGTCTGGATGTTGTGTCCACAGGATCCACAGCTTTAATGTATGCAGCATCATAGAAGTTAATGAGCTCAGTGGAGATCTGGACAGACAGAAAGTGAGAGAGTGACAGCCTTAAAATGAAGTCTTAATCTACAGATTTTCTGAGTGTACGTCTACAGAATGTTTAGCCTTACCGTGTCCCTGTTAATAAACCCCCATATTCCTGCTGCCACCTCACAGGCGAAGAGGATCACTAAACATGTGAAGAACTGAGCAAGAAAAAGAGATCAACTGTGTGATGAAGAAAGAAATACTGGAATAGGAAGAACATTTAAGGTAAGACTGTGTGTAGAACAAAAGATGAAACAACTCTTCAAATCACTTTTTTCATGTTAAACACAGAGCTTAGTTTAAAAAAAACAAAACAGAAAACATTCCGAACACCCATAGAAGATTCCACATGGATATTAGCTTTAGCGAATTAGCTTTCTGGGCTGGCCTACAAATTGACATCATGATGACTACCCTTGTGAAAAAAAGTGTGCTTAATTGTGTTGAATTTTGCAGTTTAGGTGTACATTAAAACTTTTAAGTAAGTTTTAAGTTTACAGTAAAAACTGTACTTGCAGATAAGATAATATTAGTAACACTTAGGTGTGCTTACACTTTCAAAGTTAATATACTTTATATGTGTCAGTTCAGAAATGTACAACTTTACATGTGTAATTACAAAACCATTTATAATTACAAATACAATTAAATATTTGACATACACGTTTCAATAGGAATTGTTTTAATAAAAGTATGTAGTGTACCATAAATGCTTGTCAGTATGTTCAGCAGTACGCTTTAACCATATTTTAAAGACAATAGAAGTGCTTATAAAAATTTCATATACTGATGCATTTAAGTCCTACTTACGTGGTCAAAAAATATCACTCTAAAGTTCAGCTAATTGCACTGCAAACAATAATACATTTTCAATTGCAACAGACATGCAGCTAAGCGCCCAAAAACATTACATTATTTCACAGTGAAGTAAATTATTTCTGTAATAAATACCTAAAAGTACGCTAAACTGTTCTTTTTCACAAGGGTATTGTCTCCTACTAATAGAATCTGGTTGAACTATTAAACAATTAATGCATAAATCAATGTTTATTCATCTTTCCGGATGAATTTTAACTTCTGAGAAAATAACACATGCCAGTTTATAAATAATACATTCCATTAT